CGACGAACCCTCGTTAAGACGGAATATCACTGATATGATGCTTAATGAAGAACAGATACGGGTGAATCTCGACATCCTTCCTGAGCGTCGAGAGGTCGCTACCGTCCGCGCAGAGGCACAAAAGCGAATGCTATCTCGTCGTTACAACACCAAGGTCAAACCCAGAGCGTTCAAAAGCGGCGATCTGGTGTGGCAAAACCGGGGAGAGGCTAGGAAGAATTGAGCGCGCGGCAAACTAGCTGCCAACTGGGAAGACCCATTTCGCATCGTCGAGGACATGGCGAATGGTGCATACCGCCTCCAACTCCTCAACGGACAGCCCGTTCCTAACACGTGGAATGCTACTCATCTTAAATATTATTTTAGTTAGCATTCATCTTTTGCTGACACATTATTCATTTCAGTTTCAAATAAGAAGTATATTTCATTGTTATTATCATTTCATTTCATATATAATTTCTCGCATGTCGAGTCCCAGGGTCGTCGTCAATCGCCCCAGGCACGTCCACTTCCGAACGACTTGGAAATACTCCAACTGGTAGCTGTTCTCCCTTGAACACCCAGTCCATTCGGGATACACTCCCACTGGTAGCTGTTCTCCCTTGAACACCCAGTCCATTCGGGATACACTCCCACTGCTGGATGTTCTCCCTTGAACACCCAGTCCGCTTGGGACGCACCCCCTTTGTTAGATGTTCACCCTGGCACACCCAGTATTCTCCTACTCGACGCACACCCTCGACGGTCGCACACGGTGCTATTAACACACTCGACATCGACACCTAAGATATGATCTTCGTAGTCGATCATCGTCTTCGACATTCGTTCATTCAGACGACTATTCAAACACGCAAATCGTTACAGGGAAAGTTCAACAAATCCAAGTTTAACATTTAAAAGTTCAACAAACCCAAGTTTAACATTCCAAAGTTCAACAAATCCTAATCTATTACAATGTTAGGCGTGTCGCCAGCAGCATCTCCGACAGTCTCCACGGCCGGTTCGTCCACGGCGACCGCTTCATCACGCTCATTGTTGGCAACCGCCTCTTCATCCTCTTCCGCGTCCATGAAGGCATCTTCAGGAATTTCGTTAAGAGGTTTCAATTGACCCTCATACACGTCCTTCTGAACGTCAAACTCCACTCCCTCGGTCGACACCTCGAGCAAGTGTCCGACTTGCCTCAGAGCCTTCCGGAACCCCCTGGTATGTTCAATCATTACCGCCTCCTTCAGTTCTTCTATCAGCTCCTTGTCCTCCCTTGCTTCCGCCCGCAAGTCATCCCTCTCTTTGGTCACCTCCGCCCCTGTCTTCTTGGCCCGTTCTAGCTCGCTCGACAGTTGATCGCGCTCCTTCCTCAAAGTCAAGCCGGCATCCCGTGCGTCGTTCAACAGCACTTCAGCCTCTCTCAATAGTTGCTCTGACCGTTTCTGCTTTGAATCGCAAACGGCATGAGCCTCAGTAAGCTCTTTCAGCTAAGTCCGCGCCTTGTCCAATTCAACCCGCAGAACACCTCTGTCGGAGGCATATGCAATATGCCAGGCTAACATCTGTGATCGAGTCGTCATTTCCAACAGGGCGTCGGCCATTTGTTGCTCAATCATGCTCTCCACCACCCTCTTCTCCGAGTTATCCAGATTGAGATCGACCTTATGGCTCAAGGTGAAGGAGGGATCCCATACGCCGAGAGGGAGGGGACGCGCTGTCTCATCTACAGTATCCTTCCTCTTCTTTGACACAGCGCCGCTAGTGTCGACCACTTTCCCTTTCCTTTTTCGTACCAAGGGCTGCTCTTCGGCGGCCGTTGTCTCATCAGTCGAGACCGACATCACCACTGGACCGGTTGGTTGCACTTGCGTACGCTGTTGTCCTTGCATACGTTTGGAGGATGATCCTGGAAGGTCACCTTCAGCCCTCGTTGTCGATGGCTTAGAACCAATTTCGGCCACTTCCCTTTCTCCCCATTATCTCTGCGAAACAAAGGTCAACCCAGAACAGTCAACAACAACAAAGCAACAGATAAAAATAACAAGCAAAGACACATACCAAACACCCTCGAATCAGCGTCATCGAACTCAAGGCAGTTTATAAGCTGACGGGAAGAAAAGGGGCGTGGCAATGATGTCAACACATTCAGAGCCTCTAACTCTTCAATCGTCATCTTATCTTCGGGCCAAGAGGTGAACCTCAGCGGATCCTGCGTCCAGTACAATGGGAATTTGGGGCTCCCCTCACCATCGAAAAAGTACCTCCGCCCAACATCAGGGATGGACACTTTAAAGAATTTTTCTTTAAAGCCCCTATAATACTGCAGGTAAAGCTCTAGTAGTGCATTACCCGACTCAGAAATTAACGATACCCACCCCTTCTTCGCGATCGGTCGACATCTAAAAAAGTACAAAAATAATCCTACAGTCGGCCTAATTCCTAACGCCCGACATAACACGGCAAACGCCTGCACATACCCCCAACTGTTGGGATGCAGTTGACTGGGCGCGACATTTAGGATCCGTAACACATCCATTTGGAAGATTGTGAAAGGTAATCTCAGGTACAAGTCATAAAACGGGGAAGCATAACAATAAAAGAAGTCACTGGAAGCACTCCCCCTCCCATGGCACACCTTCTCATCTTCCCGTCAGGCTACTAATCTCACACACGTTTGGTACCCTAGGGTTCTCAAAATACAGCTATTCTCAATCCAATTTACTAACACTGCCCTACTCCCAAACAAACTCCTAAGCTCTTTCACTTCACGCGCCGCCTAGGCGTAACCATCATCGCAAACCGGAGACGTTACACACCCCTCTGGACCGTCACCACACACGTTCCCATACACAAATGCATCATCACCACAAAGCACAATGGTGATATCAGGGCGTTCCGCCGTTGACGACGGCCCCGGTATATCGCTACCGGCGTTATCCCCCTTTTCTTCCATTATCAGCAGTAAACGCACTAAGACGAAGGAAGGTTTAAGGGTTACCTGGCAAATTCTTGTGGCAGCGTAAGCGGTAGCGTTGAAGAGAGGATTTCACTCACAGCACACAATACCAACTTCTATTCTTCAGCAAAAGTGAAAAGCCTCTTTCTGATTCGTGCTGAAGAAGGAAGGAAGGTTAACCGTCATGCGTCGTAGGATCAGTTTTAATCCAACGGCTGCCTTTTCATGTCTCTTCGCTTCCCCAAAAAAGCTGGAAAACTCTAAAAATTCTAATGTCAAAACGGTGCGTATCATTTCCCCATTAAATCACCACTCAACGTCCTTTAGTAAACTTGCAAGCAAATACTGCGCTCGTTTACTCGGACTCGGGGGGCATGTACCGTAGTATACCTGATTCCACCAACGGTCGACAAATAACCCGAAAGACCATTTGTCGAACCTTCTTACGATCGTAGGTATGTCGTATGTCGAACGCTTTTTAACATCATAGCAGTTACATGTTGATGTCGACCACTTGGCGATCGACAACCAGTGATGTCGCGACATATAGCGCTCGCACGACAACCAAACGGTTTAGCAGATAAAAATAAACAGTTACGAATATTAGTCAAATACCACGAATCACGGGAATAACTGACTCAGTATCAAACACGATCTAATCGTTACAACTTCCAGGTAATCCACTCCGGTATCTGGCTGGATTTTCAGGTAAACGGTTTATTTTACTGTTTTAAATATGAAGATCACATGAGAAAAAACGTACGTTTTTCCCTTTAGAGAAATTAAGAGAGAGAAATTATTCTTCTTCTAGATCACTTTGAACTGAAAAGATTCAGGACATCCCTTTTCTGACTTTAGCTTCTGAGTGCCTTTGCAGGTACCCAGCCCATTTTCCCATCAGAGAGCATAGCGAAGAAAGAGAGATATCACAGTAACGACATCACAGGAAGGAGTAGTTGAGATTTGTTAGGTTCGTATCTCGGTTTCCACATCCATACTGAAACACAAATCAAAGAGGAAGAGAAACCCTTAAAGATCATGAAACTTCTCTAGAACTCTTTGAACAAGCATGACTAAAAAAACAAGAAAGACAATTAAATAATAAATTCCACAAATTGTTTACTGGGGAGAGAATAGAAAGAGTAGAAAAACAAATTTCAAAGCAAAGTAACTTGTAAAATTTTAGAAAATTATAAAATATTACAGGAGATTCAAGAATGCTCTAGAAGCTCCTAAATAATGTACATTGGATGACAAAACTGTGAAAAGTGTGAAGGTTGAAACTTCTTCCACATTATTTTCAAGAGAATTGAAGATTGGATCTTCCTTCAACATGTTACTGTGAAGACATGTGAAATCCACTTAGGACATCCAAGTGTATTCCTATTGTTTCCGTCATTAGTTTGGGTTCAAATTAGTGTTATTATTGTACTTATGTCTAATAATTAATTTTCCGTTCACGTCACTTTGATAGTTAGTTGGTCTCCTAAGCCAACACAAAACGCCATAACTTCCAAGAGTTGGAGGAGGATGGATTTTTGGTCTATGAAAAGCATATGCTAATCTATTGTTAGCATCAATTTTTATTCCTATAAATTGGATTCTTTTGGAATCACTTATCTAACTTCTTGTTGCAGTGTAATTAACTAATCATTTTTATCTTTTAAATGATCATTAGTTTAAATTTAACAATTTTCTTAATTAAAACAAATATTTTATTATTTTATCCTTTTGTATTTTTCTTATAGCTATCCAAGACCTAATAAAAAATTAATATTTATTCTTTTTTAGTTGACTCGTCCTAATTTCTTTTATATTTTAAAGTAAAAATATTATTTCATTGGTCTCAAAAGAGTATTGAATGAAAAATTGGAAGTTTGTACAGTATCACGTGTCCATGTTTATTGTCTTATATCAGTCCCGTACACTCACCAATTGGCCATGGCAGCGCCGCCCACTACGACACCAAATTTGAACAATGGGGTTGAACATGTCTATTCACGGTCTTATATTAGTCCATACATGCACACACACCTAAATTAAAACATCACCATTTTACATTGCTCCGAATCAAGATCAATGGCCCCGGCAGCGCCGCAGACTCCGACACCGGAAACCACCCCGTTGGGCCACCAACTCTTCACGCGGATCCGCCTGGCCACCCCATCCGATATTCCCCACATCCACAAACTCATCCACCAAATGGCCGTCTTCGAACGTCTGACCCACCTCTTCTCCGCCACCGAGTCCTCCCTGTCTGCCACCCTCTTCTCCCCCACCGTCCAACCCTTCCACTCCTTCACCATCTTGCTTCTAGAAGCTTCGCCCACCCTCTTCCCTGTTTCAACCTTTGATTCCAACCCTTTCTTCAAACCCCTGACTGAAGTCGTGAATCTGAGGCTCCCCTTTGAGGACCCCGAGCGCGACACGTTCAAGAGCATGGATGACGTTACTGTTGTAGGTTATGTGATGTTTTTTCCAAATTATTCAACTTTTCTGGGAAAACCAGGGTTTTACGTGGAGAACTTGTACGTGAGGGAGTGTTACAGGAGAATGGGGTTTGGGAAAATGTTGTTTAGTGCAGTGGCAAAGGAAGCAGTAAAAATGAAGTACGGAAGGGTAGACTGGGTTGTGCTTGATTGGAATGTTGATGCCCTTAGGTTTTACGAAGACATGGGTGCTGAGATTGTGGAGGAATACAAGTTTTTCAGATTGACTGGGAAGGCTCTTCAAGCTTCTGGACACGCTCACTGAAAACTGTTCCTCAATTTCTCATTCCAAAAGTTGCTCAAATGCTATCACTTTCACGTATCCATGCTTCAAGCACGATTCATGAATTATGTAACAAACCATGTATTGTGTGTTTATTATGATCTCTTCTCAGATATATAATTATATGTTATTATATCTCAAGAGATGAATAAGGATTATCTAAGTTAGTAAAATGTTGGTACTTCTTATTTTAATGATGATGCAAATTAATATGGAATTACTTGTATTAGTATAAAAGTACAAATTTTTTAAAATCGAAAACAATTAGAAATTTAAAATTTCAGTTTTTAAAAATAGAACGTTGTCTAAAGATGTTGTCCGTGGAAAATTTTATAGAGAAATTATTTCATTATTAACTTTCAAGAATTACTAACAGGTTAAGCGTCGGTAATTTACTCATAAACTAATCCTTGAATAAATCACCAACTGATGTAGCATTACCAAAGGACAAAAATCAATTGATAATTTTCGTACATCACAATTGCCGACAAATATCATATCCTCGATTGTTAATAGACAAATTCAAATTTTCTTACAGTGATACATTTTGATCTTTGAAAACATATATCTTTTAAAACACTAGTACAGATAATAGAAATTGCATCGGTTAAATTCGTTTATACGCACCGGTTTTACAACCGGTGCATATAGAGGCGAGGTAGAAAAGTTCCGTTTAATGTCTCGGTTCTAAACCGGGTCAAAAAGAGATTGATTTTTGTCTCGGTTATCTTTTGAACCGAGTTAGTATCTTAAAAAATTCAACAAAAAAAAATTTCAGAGACTGTCAGGGGGCAGGTGGGCTTTTAGGCTTCGGTCATTACTTTAACCGAGGTAATATGACTTATATGCTTCGGTTGATTTTGAACCGAGGCGTATAAGTTGGCTTAAATTGCAAAAATGCCACCGCATTTTAATAGACTTCGGTTGCACCTAAACCGAAGCATATAACGCGAGTTAAAAAGCAGTTTTTTTACTAGTGAAAATGCAAAATGTTTTGAAGTATACGTCGAGTTCCATTCTTATATATATTTGGTTTAATAATTCAGGAGGTCCCTATTTTTCGAGGAGAATCTCAATTTCGTTCTTTTCTTTTTCGGTTTCTCAATTGGGTCCTAATTTTATGAAAATTGCAACAATTGGGTCCCTACCGTTAAATTGGACCCAACGGTGTTAGTGTGTGTGGTTGACGTGGCACGCTGGAGTCTCTTTCTTAATTGACGTGGCACGCCGGAGTAAGTGTTTTTAATTGACGTTGATTAATGATGTGCATTTGAGTAGATTCCAGAACTAGTAGAAGGTTATTTAGAGAAATTTAAGATTTTGGAAGTTTTCCCCGTACGAATACACAAAACGGTGTGTTGTCCGAGATCAAGAAATATCAAAAATCAAAATAATGAAGAATCAAGGTTGAGGTCATTGATGTAGTTGGAGGAGAGACTACACCTTCGACGTTGTCGCCGAATTCAACGCCTCCCCCAACGTCTTCTTCCCATCCACTGCATTTTTCCACCTCCTATTTCACTAGGGGGCATTTTTTTAGTCTGACGAACCCTTATCAGAAATTCTCCCAATTCTTGTTTTTTACTCCTCGTACAAACCCTAGCATTAGAGGGTTTTCTCTCCTTTCCTGTTTTATAAAGAGGCTTGACAATATAGGGAGGCACCATTCTCCTTCCCCTTTTGGTTCTGGTTAAGGTCTTTAGAGGGTGTGTGTATGCATCCATCCCATAACATAACGAGAGGTTCTAAAATTGAATGTTATTTGGAACCTTTCTTTATACATGATACAAAAATGTTATTTTAGAATCTCCTCATGCATTGGACAGGATGTATATTGATGCACATGATACAATTTTATAAATGGTTTATGTGTTACCATCTGTTAAATGTGTTTTTTTTTTCTTTCTTTTTTTATGTTCTCCTTTATACATATTAATCATACCGCCGCAAATCATTTTATTGCTTCGTTTCTATGATTTTATCAATTTTAATTGCAGGGAAAGATATTTTTCAAAATTTTGAAAGGTGTGGTACTTTTATGTCTTGTTTTGAAAGTGTTGTTAGATGCCGCAAATGAATCATGTTTCATTTTCTAATTTGCAGCAATTGATTTATTGAAAAATGCCTTCTTGTTTTGTTTCAGGTTCACAAGGAAGACAGTCTCAGAAACCACATCCTACAGAGACGGATAATGTCCATAGAATGTCTTTACCTGTTTCTGGGCTTGCATCATACAAGTTCAAAGGATCTCTGTGGACTCCTAATGGTGGACATGAACGCCAATTAGCTAGCTCTCTTTTGCAGCGGGCTGATTTTACTGCGACATCTGGGTTCGCTCTCCGGCGGCGAAAGTCTCTGTTAGTTGGCATTCTCGTGGCCGCACATGGCACTGCATTAGGATTTCGTTTTAGGGATTTTGGGGTTTCTGATTTTGGGTTGAGTCTGAAGAAGAAGACCTGCGTTTTGTTCTTGTTTTCTGTGTTTTGTTTTGATTGAATTGAAAAATAAATAAAAGGAAAGAAATATAACGTAGATAAACTTTTAAAATGAAAAGTAATCAAAAAGTAAGGCAACTTTTAAAAACGTAAGGCAACTTTTAAAATGAAAAGTAATAAAAAAAATATACTTTCTTCTGTAATGTGTCAGCCACCTCAATTAAGTAACCGACTTAGCGTGCCACGTCAATCACACACTAATGCCATTGAGTCCAATTTAACGGTAGGGATCCAATTGTTGCAATTTTCATAGAATTAGGACCCAATTGAGAAATCGAAAAAGAACAGGACAAAATTGAAATTCTCCTCGAAAATAGGGACCTCCTGAATGATTAAACCTATATATTTCAATAAAAATATACAGTTGTGAAAACATTCGCATAATTTTTTTCACAAAAAATATTAACCTTTTCTTATTCTAGTCGGCTAACATATAATAGCAAAGCCTGTAAAAATTATATAACCATACAATAGTACATACCGATCAGATATTACAAGAACCAATCTGGTAATGTTTGAGTAAACCTTGGTTCCTCAAATATTAGGACTATGCGATTAACTCATGGATGGATTATCATAGCCAGTGATCAAGATTAGAGCATCACTGGACAGTAATTAAATCTCTTAAAAAGGTAAAAACCCACAAAAATACCGTAAATAGAGTTTTTATTAAACACTTATAAACCATATGAATTTATTACATTTAACCAAAAACTTAATTCAACTTTGGAGTATCTTTGCAGATAATTAACTGGACGGAACAAGACGAATGAAAGAGTAACGAAAAGAGGATTGACACAGAGAACTCTCAAAGACGTTAGGATATTAAAGATAGTACTCAATCCTTCAAAAACATTAACTTCATGCATAATAATTGAAAACAAAAGAAAAATAACATAATTATTCAATTTGGGTTATTGGATGTGTAAATCACAAATCCAGTACTAGAACCACTAACAATTTTGATTGTTTTTTTTTTTTAATTTTCGTTGAATTTAATTAATTAATTTTTATTTACATATATTAAATTGATGCAAGTCATCCTAAACCAAGTTATAATATCATTTAGGGTACTAACCGATCGAGATAAGCACTATTTGGTATTACATGCACTTCAAAGGAAAAAAAAAAGTGATTAAATGCTAAAAATAAAATACCACAATAGTATTGAAACCATATTATTAAATGCAATTAAAATATGTTGACATAATATGAGAAATAAAAATGTATTTTAACCATAATTTATTTAATGCAATTAATATAATTATAATTAAACGCATAGTTGAAATGTTAATGTGGAGAAAGAAAGTAATAAATGAAATAACAATAACATGGAAAATGACTTACAATATTCTATATTTAAATAAAAATATTAATTATATGAAAATTAAAAATTTTAATGCATTTAATAAATGAATGAATCTAAATTATTAATTGAATTATAACTTGTTAAATAATCAATTAATATACATACGTTTAGGAAAGAATTTAATCATTATATATGTAGTTCCATCATGCTTCTAGACACAAACATCATTCTGGTGTATATCAAGAAATTGCATTAAGATATTATCTTTATACATTGATAAGGTATTAAATAAATAAATAAAGAGAAAGAAAGGAGATTAATTAATTCATTACATTAAAAAAATTTCATACATCAAACACCTTCCTATATACAATCTAGTTTTCATTTGTTTGGTTCATCATATCACAAAGCAATGGCGTGTTTCCTGCCATGCGAAGACCTAGGTAGCAATGTCAGTGTTAGCAGAGAAGAGTTCCTTAGCTTCCACAACATCGATCGTCTTCTGTTCAGCCGTTTGGTGGTGGGGCTTGGTCGTGACACCAGCCACTCCACACATGTCATGGCCTTCTTCATGTGGCTTGAAAAACAGTGCAAGGACATGTGCATGGTGAAGAACTTGCTCCAATGGTCAGACCCCATGCTTAATAGCCTTGCAGATGAGGTCATGTTGGTTTTGAAGTGCATTGAGAGCTCCCATTTCCCTTATGATGATGCTGCTTTCAATGATGAGAACTTGCCTTTGATCAGAAGCATCTTGCACCATTCCACATCCTTCCAATACTTCTATCATAACCGTGTGGTCATCATAGGAGCAGTGACCAAGTTGCTGAACAACGTTTGTTTGAGAGCCTTCGAAGACATAGTGAAAGAAGTGCAGTATATGAAGGGCGTGAGGGAACAGAAGATGGAATTTGGAAATATCTATGGAGGAAGTCCTTATGTGAAATTTGTGGTGTATCATGCTCCAGTGCCTGCTGCATTAGCAGCACCACCACAATGGGAGAGCAATGCCAATGCTAATGTCAATGCCTACCTTCCTATGCAGAGTTATGATGTTTCAAATCAACATTTCAATGAGCTTGTTGCCATGATGAATCAAACTAGTATTACTTCTACAGGCAGTGATCAAACACAGGAGGTGGCTATTGATGATAGGATTATCTTCATGACATTCTCTAAGGGCTACCCTATTTCTGAAAATGAACTTCGAGCTTTCTTTTCAAGGTACACAACT